CTTCCCTTGTTTTGTTTTAAGGAATTGGAAATTACCGTTATAGCTCTTTGCCTGGATTTTGTCGAGGTGGTGGGCGGGGCTTAACGGGGTGTCTTAGTTGGCTGTGTGTGAGTTTCAAGTTTGACTATTTTGACTTTAAAATTTTGTATTTTTGTCAGATGAAAATTTTACTAGATAAAATTTTGTCAGAGGATAATTGTGTCCAATGGAATTTTGTCAGGATAAAATTTTGCCAGAGGAAGATTTTATTTAATTTTAGCTATGCAAACGTTAACTACAATAATGTGGCCTATAAAAAGAACTCAAAACATATCTCACATCAACTTCAGCCCACCACTGATATGATATTTATCATGACACCTTAAGTGTCCTTGAACCCTGGCCACAGTGCACGAGAAAAACAAACACACTAACACTCTATCCACGAGTACTCAACACACTGTGCTCGTTTTGTTTTGATCACCACAATATCTCTAGCATTACATTCATTCCTAGTCCTTCAGACCCAGCTACCCTGAAATGACGAACCCCATGTATACGGTTTGAAATCCTCCACAAAGGCAGCTTTCGGGTTGTATGCTAGGCTCGACGAAGACAGCAAACGAGATGTATGCAAGCGCCGTAGAGATGAAAGCAATATATTCTGCTTGTATGCGAGGAATCTGCCCACAACGGGGCAAAACAATGAGATTTACTATTTATCTCTGATTTAAACAGAACCTGATTTCATGCTAGGACTGATTTACGTTAATTAGACTATAAAACACACAGAGGAAACCCGTACGTTGCTAGACCCGTGTCGTGCTAGTATGTACATTTAAGCTGTGGACAGAACTAGGGATGATTTACATAGCTTAGCACAGCGTGGATGAGAAGTGTTGTTTGCCATTTGTAACAGCGCTATTGATAAAATAGTGTACTGATAATAGAGCCGACGACAGATAAGGACAACGAGGATATGGTAGAAAACGATATATATGTAGATGGTGATGGTTCTAGACAAAGAATGATGCCGTAAGTTGAGATGTATGGCTTAGGAAGAGAGGGTGTAGACAGAGAAGGGTCTAGGCAGAAAGGATGTAGACAGAGGATGGTGTCGGCAGAAGAGGATGTGGGCAGGGAGGGTGTAGACATAATGGGATGGCGTATGGTACTAAGCTTTGAAAGACGTTCTATGTCTATAGGCACTTGTTCTAAACCATTGTAATACTTTTAACATTTTTGCATGGAACATTTATTCCAAACATTAGTCTTATGTACATCATAATTTTGTCTTGTCGCGGAACATTTAGTTCTAATGTTTTTGGAAAATTGATAAATGTATAAACACTAATAGTAATGATATTGATTAGTATAAACATTGATAACGATTAGAAAATTTGATACAGCTTGTATTGAGAGAAATAAGGAAACAACTTAAGAGTACATCTTTACACTCCACTAGAGAATGCCAGACAAAACAAACCACCATTTTTCTCATGTTTATCTTGGCTAAGATTTGCATTGCAATGCGTTTGATATTTCTCTATGTACAGTTACGATGTAGAAAAAAAAATGATCATTCGGCACAATGGGATACGATTGGCGATAAATTAAGTATGACACGAAGTCTGAAAGGTCCGGTGTGTTCAGTGAGGTCCGTTCTTGTTGAATGTACACACAACGAGTGCTGAATTAAATGAACACAAGTCATGCTTGGTCAACAAGGGGGTTCCATTAGATGGTTGGTCAACAGGGGGGCTTCATGATATTTGTTGACACGTTGCTCGGGAAAGTGGGCCAGGGAGGGTGTATTGTTAAATTTGTGGTGTACTAACATGACGCTTTTAATTTTGTTATAATCAAACAGGGAGGGTGTATTGTTAAATTTGTGAAGTACTAACATGACGCTTTTAATTTTGTTATAATCAAACAGGGAGGGTGTATTGTTAAATTTGTGAAGTACTAACATGACGCTTTTAGCTTTGTTATAATCAAAAAGGGAGGGTGTATTGTTAAATGTGTGGTGTACTAACATGGGACTTTTTTTGTAGACAAACAAGGAGGGTGTTATGTTAATTTTGTTAAATTCATGATATACTAACATTTTTTTTTTCCATTTTCGTAGTCATACAAGAAGCGTGAATTGAGATGTGATAATAAATCATGGCGCTTTATAAATTTGTTTTTGTTTAACAGAAGGTACTGAATTATGACAGATTGTGCTGTGGTACTTTTGATATTCCATTTCTAATGTCTAGGCTGAGATAATTAAGAGCATGTATCAAGTAGTTTAACATAATGCTGCCTACATTTCATGCCTCGATGGTTGAATGCTGTATTAAATGGCTACAGACGACTTAAATTAATTTTAGTAGCTGATATTTCTGAGTGGTAATGTAACAAAATTGTTAATAACTGATCTGTTACATCATGGTGGTTATTTTTTTTTTATTATTAATACAGGTTCGTTTATTTTGACTGGCTAAATCGTGGAGTTGTTATGAATTTTATCTGTTTTATTGTAGATATGTTGCGTGATGACAAAATCTAGTTCTATTATAGTTATTCAATAGAATTATCATGAAATTAATTTATATCCAATCGAACACGAGGTGGTCGATTATTTTACTGGCCAAATTTCGCAGTGTTTTTTTTTAAATCACAATAATGATTTAGAATATTATTGAAAATTGTATTTTAGCGTATTAGATTTAATCTGGAACTTTCGGATTATTAATTTCCTGCATGTCTAAATCAACATTTCTAAAAAAAATATTCGTATCAATTCTGATCTGTCCAATCGTCTTACATGCCATGACGTCTTACTATTTTCTCTGGTAATTTATTGGACGTTTCATTGTCTTTTATGGCATAAGCCATTAAGAATATAAAAAACTGAAAAACAGATTATTTTTTAAAAATTGCGAATGAAATCTGATTAAGTTTCTCGGCATGTTCATGAAACAATATCATATTTAACATGCCCTGCATGGAAATTATATATCGATACCTTTTTTGATAGATTAAAAATGGTCAAACTAACATTAAAAAGAAATTATCCATTAAGTTGAGTGTTTTTTTGCGCCCTTAATTTTATTATGTTTTATAGAAGCGGATATGCCACCGGGGATCAAATAACGTGGATGGGTTGTAGATTTTTTTAAAGTTAAAAATAAAGACGGTTTGATGAGGATTGTCGATAAAACATTTTAGTTACAGGAATATATTTTATTTTGGGGTCTTCATTCGACTCGTTAGGGGCAATGTGTTAGGAAAGCAAACTTTAAAACAAAAGAAATGTAAGTGTTAAAGGCAGGCGTTTTGTAAAAAGTAAAAACTGTATTCTATGCTTCTGATTTAAGTTGATAAATAAGTTAATAACAAATGAAAAGACGTGAAATATATTTTTAAGTTTAAAAAAAAAAGTTTTTGTATAGTCTGCTAATAAATATTACAGTATCATGCGGCGCACCAATTATAGATATAAGTTTGGGATTTTTACCTGTAATTAACCACAGATGGGGGAAAATAATATTTTGCCACCCCCCCCCCCTCACACTACTAAAAATACTCACTCGCTACACATACCACACACATACAGTTGCTACCATTAAGTTTTACAGATACTATTCTAAAATCTAATGCTGACAAAACTATTTTATTTTCTACTATGTGAAATTGTTACCTTTATGTTTTTTACAAAATTAATACAGACAAAACAATTATGTTTTATACCATATGAAGCTACGTTTACAAAATTGTTTCATTAATTTTGTTTAAAAAAATACAGAACAAAACAATATATTTTCGATTATAAAAGATTCATTTATGAAAATGTAGCCCTTAATTTGTTTCTAAAATTAAAACTGACTAAAAACACAATTTTATGTATCTACCGTGCGAAAATACGTTAAAAAATGTTGTCCTAAATTGTTTTCATGGGTAGACCTACGTTTTGTGTAGAACGAATTAATGCCAACGTTACAAATATTTCTTGTGTTTTATCAAAGCCAACTTGTGTAATGTCTAATGCGTTATATACATACATGTAATAAATTACATACATGCAAATAGAAGCCAATAATTCAAATTTCTTTTGTGTTATATAAATGAGCGCCAACATAAAAAGCATAACTCTGTTTTCCTGAATTAGCCTCAAACGCCACATGTTTTTTTCTCTATCTCTCTATCTGTCTCCCTGACACTCCCCCTATCTCTCCCTATCTCTCCCCTCGCTGGTATTGTAGTAACTAACAAGGTTAGACAGGGCGAGGGCTGTCAATGCCGACATTTTTTCTTCACGTTTTCCGCTGTTGTTTGGCAAGAAGAACGTCATCACCTTTGGCTGACTACTGCTTTGGCGTACCTAGCAACCATTTTGCCAGGGAAGCCGTCTTCACGGGAGGAATTTTTTTTTTTTTTTTACGTCTTTGACATTTTTTGTTGTTGTGTTAAGCAATAGAGGGAACAACAGATGAACTAATGAACAATTAACTAGTTGGATAATTTAAAATCTGAAATGTTTTTTTTTCAGTCTCAGAATTATTTTTCATATGAAACGATTATACTATATGTTTTCGGATATAAGTACTGAATGATGATTAAATGAACTAAACCTTTTTTTCACTTTATTGGCAGCACATTGGAATAAAATAAAGATTTTAAAATTGATGAACGTGTATTTGTGTTTGTTGTTTTGGTGAGCGATGTTTCATTCACAAATCGGTATTCGTATTTTTAGGCGACGAAATATGTTAAACAAACAATAGTAGGTCTTGTAATACACAAAAAAACAAAACATAAATAACAAAAAGAGGATTCAAAAACCAAACTTGTATAACTTATAGAGAGCGTAGTACTTAAGGAAATGGTGCGATTAAAGGAGGAAGAATTAATATTATAGCCTAGTGGGCCCTATCGGCTTAGTGCAGCGACTATGGGAGAGTAAGGTATAAGTTGAAGTCGTGCAAGTTAAATAGAAATTTTAGAAAAAATAAAAAATGTGCATGTACCTGTACCTGTTTGAACTGTTCCTCAAAGGTCCAGTTGTGGGACCTGCTGTCCCCGTTGTCGTCGGGGGAAGGGGAGGGCTGCAGGCTCCCCGTGGGTGAGACGGGGGTGGTCGAGCTGGGTGGGTAGCGCTCGGCCGGGGACGGTGGGCTGGGGAACGCGCTGTGGTTGGGGAGGATGGGGTGAAACGGGTTCACCACATCCAGACCTTTCATCTCCCGCCCCAGGAGGTGCCCGCCCAGGGCGAGGTGGGCGTGCGCCAGGGGGTGACCCAGGGGGAATGATGACAAAAAATTAGCGCTGTTGTGAAGATGCGCCCTGAAATCGTCTGCAAGGAACTTGCTCATATCCAGGCTACTATCCCCGTTGGTTTTGATCATGTTCCCGCCGTTCCCCAGATTTTTATTGTGGTTGTTGGAGTTATTGTTACTGCTAAACGACAAACTGTTCTTGTTGTTAAGGACGCCGGTTTTACTTCCGGTACCATTGTTGCTGGACCCGCCGTTGCTGTTCTCGCTCCCGCCGTTATTGTTAACGACGTTTCCGTTGGACAGGGAAGACTTGTTGGAGCTGGGACGGCTCAGGTCCAGCTCGCGCTCTGACCTCTGCTGCATCCGTTCCTGGGCCAGGTGCATCTCTTTCTCACGGGCACGGAGCTGGCTGTTGTGGATGGCCAGCGCCTCCTCGTGCTCCTTGAGCTCGCGCTCTATCTCCTCGCGCTCCTCCCGCTCCTGCTGCTTCAGCTTCTCGTACAGGGCCCTGTCAGCAGGGTCGAGCTTGTCCGTGTTCATGTCCGCTACATCCCCGCTCTCACTGTACGTATCCGACTCCTGGTCCGACTCCATGGTGCTCCCGTTTGTCTGAAAAATAAGAAATGTTATGAAGGGTAATGTCTTGATGAGAACTTTAAGCAAACGTTGTGGATCAATCAGCAGTAGAGACATGCAAAGGTTTACAGCGTAGTTTAGAGAAAACAATTTTATATACGTATCTTTAGGATACATAGATTCCCAAAGCGATTTTCACAACGTAGTTTAGAGGAAATATTATATTAAAGTATCTTAAGAATTGGATAAATTGACAAATCCGTTTAATAAAAGACATTCCAAAGTTTATAGCTATAATACAAAGATTCACAAAGCAGTAAAGACATTCTCATAGCGTATCGCTAGAATACAAAGATTCACAAAGCAGTTTAGCAAAGATATTCTAATAACGTATATTTAGAATTAGAGACAACAGCTTCAACGATTATTTGCTCTCAACCGTCGAGCGAGAATTATTGCAAGTACGATCAGGAAGTATAATAAAGTTAAGTTGTTAGTTTAAATACATGTACTCATGCTAGGGTACATATTAATTTTCAAAACCTGTAAAAGTAATCAAAATAACATGTCATTAAACTTCCGGTAATTATCTAAATTTAAAAGTGCGCTGTGGTCTAGACGATACACAACATACAAAAGGAACGGCAAATGAATTAAAGTTTGCGTTTTTTTTACACGGCTCTGAGCATTACTTAAGGCGCAGTTTCCTATTTGCTCTAATCATCTTCTAGATTGGCTGCATCCGAGAAGCAGAACAATTTTTTTTTAATTCCTGGTGGGAAAATGTTAAAGGTAGACCGATAAAATGAAACCGACATACACACACAACACACACACACACACATATATATATATATATATATATATATATATATATATATATATATATATATATATATATATATATATATATATATATATATAAACTTATGACGTGGCGTGATTAAACGAAATAAATTAGTTCACCTGTAACGCTTGAGTGAAGAAAAAATCCCACCCCCCTCTTTCCCTCCCCCCCCCCCCCTACTCTTCCACCGATTTGTCGCTTAATGGGTGTTCCATGTGGTTTGTTTATTTACCTTCTGCCTGAATATTCACCCCCACCAGCACAGCCTGCAACCCCCAACCCCTCCACCGCCCCCCGCCCCCCTGAAATTCTCGCAGGCGGTGGCACATCCACCGCCCATGCGCACACTTTAAACCCAGCTAGGAAACCCTTCAAGAGAGCGCCATCAGCCATTGAAAGTCTGAATTTATAATTTAGATTTTAAAATTAAGCATCAAGGTGCACTGGTTATTATTTTACCATCCCCCGCTTACTTCCCCTCGCCGGGAGTTATTTCCCTTCCCTGCACCGTTCTTACGACGTTGTTCTCAAATTGGAAACGTTTGCGATTGCGGTGTATTCTAAATTTACTACCGTTAACGGACTAAGTAATTTGGGTATAATATCCGGAGAGAAGAATCAGAGGGGAATTCATTTAAGTTACAACAGCGAGTCTCAAACGGTTCTGCGAGGAATAAAACTGTTTTACTTTTACAATGTTATGTTAGAATTAGTTACTCTAGAACGTAACCATCTCAGTTTAACTTAGTCAATTTTTAGTTTGTTTTATTTTTAAATTAATAAACGGTATTTTGAAAGAGTGGAAAATTAGAACTTAGATTAAAAAAGAAACAAGAGAAAGATTAATTAGTTGAGTGATATTTAATTACCGTATGAATGTCTATAAAAATAACAACCCTACGTCGTATAAGTTTTCACTTCGAAACACTAAAAACTAATTTTTAATAATTCACTCAACACATTTCAAAACACGGTTTCTCAACTTAATTAAAACAACCAATGACTATTTACGCACATGAAGTTGTACATTTATTTTTAGTCTCAGAATTTAATGAACTAAATAAGCTTAGTTTACATCTAATTAGCTAAATCAAACAGTAAAATCTGAAACGTAAATGGATTTATCCGAAATTTCTAATTTTTAGAAAAATATTATTTTTTATTTAAACTTAAATTTAAAACCTAAATTTAAATCTTGGAATAATGTTTTAATATTGTATAGAAATATGATGTTCAATTTAGTGAATCTACTACAAATGTATTATTAATATTTGTTTTTTACAAAAATACGATTTAATTAGATTATCTTATTAAAATATTTTTTAACTAAATAAAAATAAAATATTATAACAATGAATTATTGCAATTATTAAATGTCCACATTATAATACATAACACGCATAAGTAGTAATACATGACATATTATTAATGAAAAGTTTTAGTAAGTATTAAGTAGTAATCAAAAATGAGACTAGAATATTTTTTTAAATACATTAATGGAAACTAAAATTAAAACTTTAAAATATTCAAAACAAATAAACCACATCTCTAATTGTCAGTCTGTTTTACAAAATGAATAGTAATGAAATCCTTTTGCTTTCATCACGCCCCGCCCCTCCATACAAACCCCCAACCCCAACTCCCCACCACCACCCACTCTTTGTTATTAATTCACACGAGAGTGGGAATTTTTTTAACCTAAAAAAAAATTCTACTTTTTAAAAAAACCCGAGAATCATCGGATTAAGATATGAATATAATAGCCAAATTAGAAAGACGAGCCGCGGATGGAGGTGTGGCGACTCGACATGATGGTGCCGGCCGCTGAAAAGGTTGTTCAGAGTTCACCCTGAGATTAGCTTCATGGTGTCGGGTTGCCTCATGATGGTGGTGATGAGCTACTTTTAATAAACACGGTACTGTATGTCGGGCGGCTCCTCGCATGAGATGAATCCTAGCTGATAAGCTTTGACTGAGTTGGGGGTACTTTCATACACACTGTCATAATACACAGGGGAGTTTGAATAATCGATCGGCGTTAAGTATTTGTGTTGGGATAACTTGTACACATACTGTACAGAAATAAAGTATATGCCTCATAAGTATTGTATAAAAAGGAAGCGTATTAAATTCTCCACAAAACTAGATCTAAATTGTACTAAATATTGTACAATACTGTATTGATCGTGTTACGTATTTTACACATATAATTATCTAATATCCAGCTTTAATTTTTGTTTTATCGCAATCTTTACAAAAGTCTAAAATGAAATTACTTCTTTAAAATATACATCAAAATATAATTCTTTTAAAATGATTAATTAATTTTAAAGCTAAAATTGTTAATTAAATTTCTAATTAAAATAACATATAGAAAGAACAGACTTACGGCACACAAAGTTGAAAAATATTATCAAGATATTCAATTTAAAAAAATTGAATCAAAATATCTGTAATCAGTTTATTAAAATAAGGCTTTTAGTCACTGCCTTTAATCCCCAATTTAAATCGCCTATCTTCCTGCCCATAAAACACATATATAACAACAAGCCGAGTAAGGCGAGGTGAGCAAGCGATTCACACACAATTCGCCATAGCATTGTGTAGTGGATACATAAACAAGATGGCTTCATACAGTCGTCAACAGAAGCCAACGACAACATTACTGAGATCAGGGTTATATCGTACTCACGGCGACACCACATTACTAACAACATATAACACAAGTATCACAACATCTCCATATTACATTATCACAACAGTATCTCACATTTCAGATATCACAACTACATCTCCACATTACATTATCACAACAGTTCCTCACATTTCAGATATCACAACCACGTCTCCATATTACAGATATTACAACCGCATCTTACATCAGATACCGCGACAACATCTCACATCATATATCGCAATATTATCCCCACATTATCCCCACATCACAAACATATCACAATCACATCTCACATCAGATATCACAATAGTATCCCCACATCACATATATCACGACCATATCACATATCTCAGGGCCGCGCACCACATTAAAAGCCGGCGCCGCCTAACAGATAACCAAACATAACTCCACCACCATCAATTCGACCATAGCCAAACAAAACAATTTCTTCAGTAATTGCCAATGGATCTACAAGCTTTCTGTATCTATTTATGAGATTTCGCGTGATCACATCAAAATCGCGAGTTAGGAATTTGTGGGAACTAAGCTTGGTAAATAAAACTATTCACAAATGTAACACTAAATCCAAAGTGAGATCGGTTTAAAATGATACATTTTAAATTTCCATAAGGAAAATTAAAGTTCTCTTAAACGTTTTAACGAGTATGATTTAAACCTTCTTCTTTGATGAATTTTCTAATTCGAAAAATTAAATTAACGTCTAAAATACACTTGCTTTCTTTGTATGTAATATGTAGCCCTAATCACTATCAAATTTTTATTTTTTATAGTAAAAAAAAATTGCACATTAATAACCGAATCAAGGTGTTATGTGTGTATTTTTAAAGTTATTTATATAGATGCAGATGCAAATATATAAGAAATATACAAAGTACAGCCTACCCTTAATTTAGGTATCACCAAATGAAAGTTTGATGCATTAACTACTTGGTCTTATAAAATAGAGCTCATGTAATTTTTACACACCGGGTAAAAAAAATAATTTCTTCGTTACCTTCGCCGCAGTTTAAATCTATAAAAATCTTAAGCGCTGTTGTATTAACTCGGCTTTTAGTTTTAATTTAAAACCCACTTGAGACAATAGTTTAAAGGTGTTGAATGGTTATAAGAGAGTACACCGTACTAGCGTATGGCTTGGTGCCCGAATTGTTTATGTTAAGTGATTGTAACATTATGTTTATTCATGTTTGTGCTCTTTATACAAGTAATACAATTCCGCATGTTTTAACAATATATTACAATTTAATCTGATTTTTTTACATTTAAAAAACCGCACAGCAAGACAGGCCTACATTGTGATTTTAGTACTATTTTATTTTCCATAACTTAAATATATTTTTTTTCAATTTATACAGCGCGCTATTGTTTACTCAGAAATAAGAATGCGGACGTTATGTTTGAATAAGTTAGTAGCTAAAATAATCGAAAGTAAACAACTCATTAAAAAAACATTAAATAAAAATGTAACATACCGCAAATATTGGAACAAGTATTTGCACACACACAAAAAATGAAATATATAAAATCAATATGTATCGCCTTCAAATGGAAAATTTTGCCTTTTGGTAAGTTAATATAAACGGATACACGCATTCATAGAAAGCACATTTTAATCCAAAGCACTTGAGCAAAAACTACTCTGAGATAGTAACAAGATTAAAAGCCACAAGAAAAAAAAAAGATACATATTTATATTATATCTAGATCTATAGTGTAATTTTTTTTTTTTGGAATGATGTACTGTCGAACATACAACTCTAGTATTGAACAAAGCAGTAGGCCTATACTCCGAGACTCTGAGTATAATTATTAAGAAACAAGTCCACAGAAATAACACTTTTTCCTATTAATTTCTGTTTAAAAAGGAAAATTCGAAAACTTTAATATATAAATTTCCTACTTATTATTTCTTCACAATTGTTTAATTGTACAGGAAAAAAAAGACGCTTATAATTCTTTGCTTTATTTTGTTGAAGAAATCAAAAATGTACTCACTAGATTCATCTCTGATCCGCTAACGGCCAGATCCATTGCGATTCTAATCCGACCAACTACTGTGCGCCTTTCTTCACAATAGAGGCGGCGCTTACGACGAACGGACCCATCTCGTTGCACTATTTATCATGTTATTCCGCCGCGAAGCCCTATTCGATGAAATTATTTATGCGGGCTGACTTTCTGCGCAGGGCTCGTGACCTATTTACGTTTACAGGGCTATCCCAGCTTCTAAAAATAAATGAAGTATTAAAAAAAAACTAAAGAATGAATACAAAATATTAATTCTGATTATAACTCAAATAAAAAACCTGGCTTTGTAAAAAATAATATAAAGTGGAATATAAAATACCACAAAATATTTACCACACTAGATTATTTAATATATGAATAAAAATATATTTGCATTTCCTAGCTAAAATTTAGATAAAGATACAACTTTTTATTAACCAAAACCTGGTTTCCGTTTAGTTTACAAGATGGCGACCTCCTTTAAGAAAACGAGTATAAGTGTTCCGAAACTTGTTAAAGAGAAATCTACGCCTGATGGTGTATACTGGAAAAATTTAGAGGTGCTCATTTACTATATGCAAATAGCTTTATGTTTTTTGGGAAATTTAGTCTCACTAATAATTTTCTTTGTTCCAAAATTATAGAATCTCGACTTCAAATTCAATGTATTTTTTTTTGTTTTTCTTTAGTTAGCCCATGATGGCGTTCAATGTTCATTGATGGGGATTGGTTATTCCAAGATTTCTAGGGTTTTTTTTTAAATATCTGAGAAAGATTGAAAACACTGCAATCCTTGCTTAGTCTCTCTATTAATTTATCAATGAGTTATACTGAGTTTTGGCTAGTTGCGACCCTGGAAAATGAAATGCACGTAACAGTAGGCAGTTTGATGAAAAATTAAAAAGAAAATTTTTTTTTAAAAAAGTATCAGTAATAGCTAGGACAATGGTAAACTAAGTCAATTTAGCATATATAAACTTTCTGTGCAAAGTCATTATGACTGAAAAAAAATTCCAAAGTCATGGGTCCGTGTGGCATAGCTAATGAAGAAAAAACTCCTAGACCTGTGACCTGATTTCATGAGTGGATATCTGGATTATTTTTTAACATTTTTCAATGAAACTTAACAGAAGCATATTAAAATAGCTTAGAAATGATTGTAGATAGCTAAAAGTAACCAAGATTGATTAATAACTTAAAAAAAAATATTAATGAATAAGGTTGGCAGATATTGGTAACACAAAAAATTAGCCTTATAGTTCTAATTTTAAAATCATCCATATTTATTATTTTAATTACTTAGACTGTGCACACTTATTATTTAGGCAGTTTACAATGGGAGTCAGTATTTGAAGATCTAAAGTAGGATCTATTTTATGAAATTATGTGTGACATTTAATGGGCGTTTCCTTTCTATAGAAACTAAAAATCTTAAATGAAGCTATGTTCTAAAGCACACTAAATTGACTACATATTTTCTTTAGGCACAGAACAGTCTGCCTAAAGATAAGACATACTATATCAGATTAGATTTAAGCAATTGTGACTGTCCCCTTCTCTCTTTTTCATCCTTGATTTGGGACCAGGTTATGTCGGAGTTACACAACACAATACATACAGGCATAATAACAAACTAGTTTTACAATCATCAAATAAGCCTATGTAATATGTATGTACATATGTACACAAACAAGACAATAAATTGTAATTAATGTACTTGTCAATAAGTTTGAAAAAGATATATACAACACAGACGACAAGTAACAAGTAAATTCTTTAAAAATCAAATGTTATATGTACACATTTACACATGCAAGACAATAAAATTGTAAATAATGTACCTGTCATTGAAGTTGAAAAATTGAAAATAAAAAAATATACATGACCCACCAGTTTTGTGTTTTTTTAACAGTGTACAAATATTGACTTTAGATTGACTTAGTGTTCAGAATCAGTGCGATGTATTGATTTTTTTTGTATTGCAATACCAAACATACATCTCAATTCATATTTTTTAAACTCCTGATGGTTTTAGCCAGACAAATTACTTCTCACAATGTAACATGTCAGTGGTGTATTGACAAATTCTGACTATGATGTTCAGAATCAATGTGTTATGGTGTAGGACATAATTCACATTTTCCAATTGTAAACTTCAGCCATCTGACAATGTAAATATGTCTGTGGTGTATATTATATTGAATGGCAAAACTGACTCTGATGTTCAGAATCAATGTAATATAGAATAGGACATAATTAACATTTTGTGAGAAAAAAAAGATTGACAAAATTTAATAATACTGAATATCTATATATATAATTCTCTTCTTCAAGCCGTTAGAAAACAAGCTGCAAACGCGCCTTACAATCCCCTCTCTTCCTCTCTGTCGCTATCACTACCACCCCCACCCCAACCCCACATGATCTGGTGAGCTGTAGTCACGTTAATGTTTACAAATCGTAGACGGGTTTAGTGACGGCTATCAGGGGCAAATAATTTAGTTTGAAATGATTTTAAACTTACAGGAGGTTACTAAGAGGAGGCTGCTTTCACGGGGGGGGGGGGGGTGTAGGGTAGGGGTTGGGGGAAAGGGAGGGGTGTTAGTGTTTTAAAGCAAATATTTTCAATGGCAGCATTGGTACTGTCGAATTCACAAATTATGAATTACTGAAAAGTAGAAAATAAAACAACTAAATAGCTGCGTATGATACGCCACGGGGCGGCTCGTTATCTATAAAAGACATCATAATTACACTCACCAACCACTAATGTCTCAAAACCACCACCAAAAATCTCACAAAGTCCCACCCCACGACAAAAAACACAATTTCCCAAAAGAATGACAAAATAACGTACTATGTGACATTTTTTAAGCCCCCACCCGCCCCACCCCCTTCCTGAAGACGGCCCGTGCCATGATCATATTTTGTCAGAAACAATTAGCAAATTATTAATAAAGGTATGAATTACTCAAGTAATAATAATATAAGAACTGTTTGAAGTGGTATTTAATAAACTAACTAAGAATTATGATGACTATTATGAGTTCTTGGCATCTAACTAAGGCATCTGCCCTGCATTCCTAACTAGAACAGCACTTAAAGGTCAAGGACACACTCAGTCACACACCATAAACAAAACAAAACTGTCGATATATTAACAATCCAGTTTTAAAATAAGTAAATAAAACATATCTGTCTCTTAATGGCTAAGTTATCAAAACTTTATTTCAAATTGTAAGCGCGAATAAAGTTTTTTTCATTCAAGTTAAGTGTTTTTCACTCTAACAGTCCGTCAATGCCAACCCCACCCCTTCACCTCTTCCGGAATCGGCAATTAGATTATTATAAAATGGCGTCTTAAAAAAAAAAGAGGGTTGGCCACTTACAGAAGCAAATGTATTGTTTTCAGCCTAATTTCATTAAACAAATCTAGTTTTATTTGATAGTAAAGATGTTATAAAAATTGGGTCTAATAAAAAAGTTATTGGGTAACGCACCTGCTTTAAATAATTCGACTTGAAACACAAGCTAAATAAGCGTGACTTTCTCTCGACGGCCTCGTGAAAGACAAAGGAAGAAATTAGGTCAAGCTGCCATTATTAAAATGTTAATTATTCGCCCTGTAAATACATGGGAAGTTTCGAGTACAAATCTTTCCGATTACGATACAATCCTTATTTTTAACTATTATGTACTTCATGAGAAAGAAAAGATTCGATATTTTATATGTCCGCCCAAAACACGGGTGCTTCAAAACCGCGAGAACGAGACTTCCCGAATCGAAAAACCTAACGTAACAGTCTTTCTTACTATGCCAAAACATTAGCCTACAAAGAATAATTTTCTGGACTGTACCTTGATACTTTGATGTTAAACCCAAGCTGAACACAGCTCAGTAGAAAGAGAAGTTGTTTAGATTTGGATAGCCTAGATCTAGGTCTATGCAATTTATTGAATAAAATAGTTCATATCAGAGGTCATGGCAGCCAACATTTTCTAGCAGCTTTTCCTATTATTGTTTTGTTTTTCTGTAGGTCTAGCCTATATTTTTTTTTTACTTAAAATATTCTATATTGTCTATGTTGAATGTATTCCCTATGAGAAGTCTTGAAACCAAACATGAAATCAATGTACTTATTGATTATTAATATCATTTGTCATTTTAAATTTGCATTCCCATGCCCAGCTGAATAAATGTCCATCAAACAGGAGTACTGTTTACAATCAGTGTCAGTCACAAAATTAAGTATTTAACCTTTCACCACAGTAGCAGACCTGACTTATCTTAACTAATCCTGTGAAGTTGCACCTCTCCAACTGACTTGTTTTGGTCAGCTCTCGTTAGTTGGGCCATAGTAAGCCCTGCAACCCTTGCTTTGCTTTTAGCAGTCCTTCTACAGGACTTGTCAGGCTCTCCCACTTTTCTTTTCCTTGGTTGGTTCCAATGCTTGCATTGTGAAGTTTTCACTTTATTTTCTCTGGGCATACCCTAATCATTCACAATCAAAGCACCAGGCAGAGTGTTTTTTGAAAAAGAAACGGTCAAGCCTACCTGCTTCTTTAAGTTTGAACAGTTACAGAATTTAAAAATATTGTCCAAATCAATCTCATGGCTTTGTCTTGCAGATCTTACTAACTTAGTCATGCTGGCTGAGAGGTCACTTTACTTAGATTTAAAAGTTGATAGACTGTTTTTAAATCTAGTTCCCCGTTTTTACAACCTGTATCAGACTTAGTGATTACACATCACACAACTAGTTCTGACACTCTGACATCACGACTCATGTCAATATCAATTTTTCTTACCAAAAATATTCAAATTTTTAATCTTATGAGATTTGCGTATTTAGCAAAATAATTTCTGGCCTGGAGGGAAAGGGAATTGAGGGTATCTACTTTTTGTAAATAAATTTTGAAAAAGGAAAAAAGTGATCTTTTATTACGATACAAAGCCTATACACATACTATACGATAAGGTCAACAGGACTGCAAAAAAAAAAACCTTCCCGTGATAAGTCATTAACCTGGGTTATATCAATTCCACCATAATGTAGCTTTGCTGGTGTCAGCTAGTGAATAAGTATAAAGTGATGTCTCGTATAGGCACTCTAACAATTACAAAATTCATACTAAAAAGTAACAGCTGCTAAAACAAAATGAGTATCAATGTGTTGGGGGATAACAGCGGAGTTAACATTTAAAGCTGTGTGAATTTCTTTTTCCTAATTTAACACACTTGGCATAACCTTATCATTTTTCTGTAATATATGTAGCATTAAATACCTACTTATTTGGGGAAGACTAAAAGTAAGACACATTAATTAAAATGCAAGGTTTCATTGAAGTGTGTTCCGATATGGAACGTGCTGTTGTCAAGTTTATTCCGTTACAAACAACTATGTATAACTTGAAGCTGTAAATATACTCAACAAAATCATGCTAAAATTAGTGCTGAAAATAAAAGGGTGTTTGGGTTAGCTAATTTGTCCAATTTTACCTTCCGATTAAATGTGTAATTGAATTTTTTGTAATTTCCAGACCCCTATAACAGTGAAAGAATATGGAGCAATCACAGACATTGACTTTTGTCCTACAAAACCTCATAACTTTGCTGTTACTAATTCAATGAGAGTAAGTACCTAATTAGTTATAGACTATATGCCTCATGATTTAATTGAGTGTTCTTTTTGCTGTTAGAAACACCAGGGCTTGCATGGGCATTGAGAAACTATTTACTTTCTAAACTGCTTTTAAAAGAATTTAAAATAGATTTTAATAAATAAGATGTAAAATAATAAAAGCATTTTTTTTTAATGTCAGTACCATGTTATTAAAAAACTTATTTTTCCTTTCTGTTCTTTGCTCTTGTGACATTTTTATACAGCGTCACTTTGATCTCTGTAGACTTGCTTTTAGTAATGACCCTAATCTGTTTGTACATGAAAACAAGTTCTAATAGTTTATCTTTCTTATAAAAGTATTTTTAAAAAAGAGAGGCCAATAGTCATAGAGAGATTTGGGTTAAAGGATGTATTTAGTAGCACTAACACTGATAACACACAGATCCTTGAACCTATAATATTAGTCTGCTTAACGATGACCCTAACAATGATGAATACACACTGACAAAAAGTAAAGTTCCGTTTTGAACCTGACATTCCATGGGGAAAGTAAAGTAGAGTTCACCTAGGAATAGTACTATTCCCAGCCGCCATTACTTTCCCTAATATGAGTTAGGTACCCCTCAGAGCTGGGTGGACTCAAGGCTTTCTACTGATTTGAACCCCGATTTGATTTTGAGACTTAATGGTTAGCAGTCCAGTGCTTTACCACTTGGCCACATCATTCCATGGACAAAAAAAACTCAATCCATAAATTACAAACCTACCATGGTTGTTACAAGAAGTAGCCTGTGTTAATTTGCTGCTATAGTTTGTTATGGTTTACAAATAAATATCCCAGTAAAGTAGGTGGTAGAAAAAAAAGTTTTCTTTGCATATGAAAATGCACAATTGTAGGTCTTGCAATGTTAAGAATATTAAATACAAAGCTTTATTTTAGTCCAGTATTGGCCAAGCTTTTAAAACTTAATTCATCTGTTGGTTTGAAATTCTTTAGATAATAAGTGAAGCAATCATTCAGTAGCTGTCACTCTGTTGAGAACGCTTTTATTATAGAGAAAACACAAGCAAAGTTAAACATTCACAGTAATACGGAAAACGAAAAGTGACGTCACATGGAACATATAATAGGAAATAGTCTAAAGCCAGGAAAGTACATACAATAATATGATGTCATTGATTCTCTAGTAAACAGTGAATTAAAAAGCCAATGGCGAAAAAATACACAATGGTAATGATGTCATCGATACTCTATAATGAATACTCTGGCATTACCTCCCCCCCCCCAAGAAATCAATCTGCACGCTCTGCTCAAAATGTATCCCCCCCCTCCCCCAAGAAAAAGTCTGAAAGAAACACTATCACCATGATTGAGGTTTAGCAGCCATAGTAGGAAACGGTTCTATATTATAGAATTAGGGTCTACCTTTACTCTGTATCATCTACAAATGTGACCAGTGTTTCTCTACTTTTTCCTCCCCGGATGGGGTACTTGAAATTTTTGGGAGCTGGGGGTGGACAAAAATTTTCTCCTGTTCTAAACCTTGCATCTAATCTCAAACACGACAAAAGTCACATTTAGAGTTTCTTTCAGGTGACTCTACGGGGGGGGGGGGGGGGGGGGGAGACAGCCAGACCTCCCCCACCTCGAAGCATGTCTACAGTCCCCTTAAAGAAATTGAATTTTTATAGAAGACATTTTTTACCAGTGTACCAGTGTTTCAAAAGCCTGACAGTTTTAGTTTTGTTTGACTTTACTAAACATTTGATGTATTTGGTTGTTTTCATTTTGTCAATGAAAATGTACTTTAACATGGCATAACTATTAACTAGGCCATGTGGTTTGAAAAAGTATAATTTTATTTAAAAATGCTATCTGCAAAGTTTTGAATACACATTACTAGAAAGTGTGGTTTTCAGAGGATCAGTCCTGGAGTTTATGGCCAGTGATGAAGGTTAACAAATAATATAGTGAACCTGATTAATATTCCCAATGAATGGCTATATTAACATCAGAAACAGGATATTCTCATCCTCCCCTCCCTCTCCATCACAACCCCGTCCAAAAAGCAGGAGTAGAGCTTCCCCTATTTAACTTAACATATTAAAGTTATTTTAGAGCAAGGAATAGGGTTCAGCTTAAGACATTTTTTTTTAGTGAGAATAACCTAATCAGTTAATAACTCTATCAGTTGATTATTTTTGTATGTTGTCACTTTTATATCAGGTACCTAATGCCAGGTATTTCACTTAGCCAGTAACATGTATTATAGCATTCTTGAGAGGGAGAGAAATCGACGGGGTTATTGATCTCTAGGTAATAATAGTAAGGTTCCAGACCAATTAGCTTGGAAACCTATTGTAGACTCACGTACACCACCATTGTCTAACAGCCTCCCAATAGCCGCATGATGTTAGTGTAGACTCATATACACCACCATCCTCCCATATACACCACCACACTACCATGTACACCACCATCCTCCCATATACACCACTAGGGTCTCATATACACCACCACACTACCATGTACACCACTAGCCTCCCATATACACCACCACACAACCACCATGTGCACTATTAGCCTCCCATGTACGCCACTAGACTCATATACACCACTAGCTTCCATAAACACCATAACCTCACATAAACACCACTACCTACCATATACCCTATCATGTACACTACCATCCTTTTGGTCACATCATCTAAGTTGTAGGCTGATGTACAACATCCACCATCCTAACGATTCAATTGCTATGTATAATTAATGTGGAAAACAAACAGCCAATCAATGTGTTCAATCTTGTGGAATGATTATAAATGAACCCATAAATTTTTTTAGTTGGGCTTGTTCTTTCTTTAATATTTATCGATCTCTTTATTGAAAAATATTGTTTTCATTTTGCGTGTTAAAACTCGCAGTTCAGTTATGTATAGACCTAGATGCCCGTCTCATCGAGAGTGCTGTTAAAACGAACTCTAATTTTAAAATATAAATAACTTAAGTAAAATTCTGAGCATCAAATTTTTTCAAGCATGGAATGGTCTTCATCTGCTTGATAGCCAAACCGGTTGGTCTTTAGGGCATCCCTCTGTATTTGGTGCCAGGCTTTGTTAAAGGCAGTGTAACTGTAATAAGCGTGACTCTACCTACCCATAAAAGTTGGTTACAGACAGGTCGAATAAACCTACTCAGTTGATGACCATCACAAAAATTGTACGGGCTGGATGAGTACCTAACTTATATCGAGCACAGTTTATCGTATTGTGTCCAAGAAACAGACGAACTCTATCGGCCCTTCTGTCCTTAAAGATACTTAATCAGTCCTCAGACAGACGAACTTTTAAATGGTACATAAATACTGCGTATTTCCGGAAACCTAGCAATGCTTTTTTCACCTACTTAAGTTATGTATAATAAATTAAACTGAATAAGAGTAGCTCTAGACTTGTTCTTTGGTGCCCCACCTAATATCGCAGTCTGTACACCGCTATACACAATGTATTCGTTTAGAGGTTGTACATCTTAAACAAAGGAGTACTTCAACTGGTTTCTTTGAGACGTTGTTACATATTGCAATTTGATATTTACTGTACTTACTGGTACACTTAGATTCCTGTAAAGAATACATTGAAAGAATGAACACAACAAATAGTTACAATATCTAAGTTTATTGAACTTGGCCGGGCCATGCATAATATAACAGTTAACAATATTTCTAACGCCGCTAACAGCCAATAAGCTTTGCTGAATAGTAAAAAATTATGCAGCGAGTGCCCGGTGCTGCCTTGGATGGCTGCTCTGGATTATATCCAGAATAGTGGATGAGATCTCCACGTCTTATCTGCTAGCAGTGGCCTTAAAATCCTACCCATTTTGTAGAGCCGTGTTAAGGGCTGGCATTTCATTTAGATGTGTGATTGAGATAAAGGCTGTATTGAAACTTATACCAGAGGAACCTACCGCGCCACCGTGAAGCCACGTCTTAAATATACAAGGCCCGGCAATGGAGAGTTAATGTAGGTGTGATCGGGACGGGGAGAGGAGCCAATGAATAAATAAGCAGATAAGTTTGCCAGATAGGAGGAACATAGAGTTTTTTTTTAATGATTGCTATGAGATAAGAGCATGTATTGTTTCATTTTCTCGCATGCTTGAGGTTGCACAGCCTGCGGAGTACCGTCTCCAAAAAATGTGTTTTTTTTGTTTTGTTTTTGTGCAGGTTGCCTGTATAAAATTTTTACTGTTTGCACGCACGAATTTGCCACATGCGTAATAGTAATGGTAGGAAATAAAAATGTATCCGCGAAGAAATGTTTTTATTTTTATTGAACACTTTCTCCGGTATTATTTGTACAATGAATATTTAATTATTTCCTTCTGCACTGTGTAAATTGATTAAATATTCGAAAATTGATTAAAGTTATAAAAAAGTGATGTCTGGAAATTGTGGATGCACACAAACACGACTAGACTCGGTAAACCTATACCTATAGTTGGTATCGGCGCTGTTTTGACAACTGTGTCGGGTAATCGATCTCCCCCTTTCCCCCTCCCTTATTGCTTATTAAAATATTAGTAAGAGAAAAGCAGCGGTTCCTGAGTGCTTTAAACAACGTATTGTGTTGATTTAATTTTATATGAGATGGTTGGAGGAGTTTGTTGAACCACGTACGTAAGTGTTGTTGAATTTCGTTGGTCGGTACACGGAGAAGAGAACTTGATCGACCAAATTTCTCGTGTAAGCGTGTTACGTTCAACATGCTATCACTCTCCCAGCCTCAGTTGTCTAATCTTGTTGTGATAAAATACAAGCCTTGCTTTCACTGTAGCCTGGGTTATTGTGCTGCGCTATTGTTGTTGGGGACTGTGGGTTTGATGTTCTCTTTGTTGATTTTACAACACTAGATCTACATGTGAAATACAAAAGACATGGAAATAAAACACTAGCGTTGTTATTAATATAGCCGCTATTCGCTATATAAACTATGCTATATAGAGCCGAAACAGCTGAATAAAATCTACAGTTAATTAAAGCAAATAACGAAATTTGAATATGACGATTTAGATACGACAATTAACTTTCTTACTACATTGTTGTCACGTAGAAAGGGATAAGAATCTGTTACTTTCAGTTTGATGTCATGTTAAAAATGTATTTAAGTTCCACTAAAGACGAAGTGAAATCTTCCGTGTAAGACCGGTGTGGTTGAATTAGTAACCAGTTACCGGGTGACTAGGATACGATGTTATGCCTCGTTAACTGTTTTAATAGTGCTGTGGGTTATTACTGGCTAGTATTCTTCTACATTTAACCTGCAATTTTTAAAGTAGTGTGGTTAATGTTGATACAATGCATTTTGTATTAGAATCGTATTTACAGGAATTACACTGAGTTGCACTTAATATAAAAAAAATATTGCTGTCTTAATGTGATGAATTGGGAAATGAGATATGAGTTTTTAAGGTTATAAAAAAAGTGCTGTATTGTTTTCTCTATTACCACAGGTGCAGATCTACAATGGCGGCAGCAGTCAGCTGGAGGGAACAGTGAGTAGGTTTAAAGATGTGGCCTACAGTGGAACCTACAGGGGAGATGGGAAGCTGCTGGTGGCTGGCACTGAGGACAAATACATTAAACTCTTTAACCCTGGGACACGCTCCCTGCTCAGAACATTTAAAGGGCATCATGGGTACGTAATGTCAAATTATCTCACTCATGAGGGCAGATTATCATGTGTTGATAACATTAACATGGGTTTTTATGTCTGTGAACATATATAATTCTTATAGGGAGTCTGCTTATGTTTCTGGTATACACAATAAATATAACTAGTTAACCAAGATAGCAGGATGGAAGTGGGACACTGATATCACAGTTTTCTTGTTGCTGACATTCAGCCACTCAAGGCCAGTATATAGTTCAGCTCATACGTTTCTGTCAGAGCCAACACAGCCCACTTCTTATATTTGTGCCCTTGAAAACAGTGCAGGTCATACATTTGTCCCTAGACCAACACAGCCCACTTCTTACATTTGTGCCTGTGAAAATACAGTGCAGTTCATACATTTGTCCCTAGACCAACACAGCGCACTTCATACTTTTGTGGTAGAACCAACACAGTCCAGTTCACACAATTGTGCCAAGACCAACACAGCCCACTTCACACTTTTGTGCCAGAACCTACCCAGCGGAGTTCATACTTTTGTCCCTAGACCAACACAACCCATTTCATACTTTTGTGCCAGAACCTATACAGCCCACTCCATACTTTTGTGCCTGTGAAAATACAATGCAGTTCATGCATTTGTGCCAAAGTCAACACAGCCCAGTGTATAAACATGTGCCAGTTCAAGCTAGAATTGGGTCATATTTTATAACATGCCTGCTCCAATCAAACCTGTTAGAGAGAGTCTGGTTGATAGCTTGGAACTATTCCAGTTCATTAATAAATTTCCTGGGGCTCCCAGACACTCTGCTACAGTTTGAACACAAGCAAGGGCCAATAATTATAAACAGTTAATAGTTTCTGGGCTGTGTTATCTACCTTTCTTTTTTTAATTATAAATTTGTGGCTTAGATGAACCTACAAACCCATTTTTATCTCCATTCAGCAGACTTTGTACTGCATGTATATTATTTACAATATATTTTTTATATTTAAAAAAAACAATAGTTAGTTGTTCAATCATGATATTACACAATTATTATGTTCTACTACAATAGTTTTATACGGGAGTTGAATGCCACGATGAATAAAACTTGGGTGAAGTTGACATTTTTCTCTACTGTTTAACTTACTGAACAGCCCAGTGAGAGTGACAAAGTTCCTACAAGATCAGTTCCGGATAATCTCAGGATCAGATGACAAATCTGTCAGGGTCTGGGACATCCCCACAGAGAAGGAGATTCATATCTACCAGGAACATCAGGTTAGTTTTACTTGACCAGCTTGTTTCGGCTGTACAGCTTGTGGTTTGCCGCGGGGGGGGGGGGGATAGGTAGTACAATGGTGGAATGGGGGGGGGGAAGCTACAGTGTGATTGGGTGGGTGGGGTAGGGGGTGAGAGCTGATACAGTGGTGGGGTTAGGATTTAGTGGGGGAGAGGGTTACAGAAGTAGAGTTCTAGTAGCTTGGTGGGACGAGGGTTAGGGGTGTTGGTGCAGCCCTGGGGGGGGGGGGGGGGGCTTATACACTTTTGTAGCACTGGTATAGAGGGTGGAGCAGAGGGTTGGTTCAATGGTGGGGTTTGTTTGGGGGGGTTGGTACTACAAAGTAATAGAGGGTTGGTTCAATGGTAGGGTGGAACACAGTGAGTGTTTAAGGGTTGGTACAATGAAGTGATGGTGGGTTGGCAGAGTGTTGAAGCACTGGGTATAGTGTTAGGTGCTTCATGAAATATATTTTTTACTTACATTTAAGTATTGATGAAACTTGAAAATAAAATTTGCAGAAAGTAAAATTGAAGTTCTTTTCCAGTCTTCACATAAATGGCAATTCACATTAACATCTTCTTTTATATCTTTTATAATAAAAACAAGATCAAACATTTATTATAAAAACGTAATGGATTTCATAAAAAATAAATTTTGTTGCGTGTTTGAATTAATGTACGAAACTGGCGTGTTTATATCTTAAAGGTATTTTATTACAAAAATAAGGAAACTTAACCTCAAATTGTAGCTATATTTATCTGATGTAAAGTTTAAATATGCGTTTCTAAATATGATTTGATGCCCCATGTTTTAAAACTATGGAGTGATAAGCAACATCAAAAGTTAACATGTCTTATGTTGTATTCCCTCTATCAAACCTTACCTGTTGGTGACGCATGGATTTTAAACAAGGGGAAAGGGAGAGAACTGAGTGCTTGAAAAGTTATCCCTTGTTTTCCTTGCTCAGTATTAGATTAGCTTGTTCCTACTATTATGATATGAATTATTGCTATCTTGCTACATTCTATAAAACAGAGAATTTTGTACCTGAATATTTAAAAAAAATATGTAAAGTCTTATTGCTAAATTTCTTTCTACCACTCTGAAATCATATTAAAGCTTTGTTTTGGTAGGGGAAATTTTAACACAAGAATCAGCAAATATTTTTAAACTTTTTAGCTTTTTTCGCTATTTTTAATAATTTAGGTGTAGATTTTAAACATCATTTTTAAACATAAAGTATGCTATAAATTAAATTAGAGTATCACTGTACAGCTAATACCCCTCTTTTTTTACTAGTTATAGCTTGCTAATCTAACTAAAATTAAAATGATGTATCAATAACATTGCGTTGATTCTAATAGAGAAATAACGCATATTGTTGGACATATCGAATATGTTTACATTGCTTGCCCTGTAACAAACATCGTTTAAATCAAATGTTTGTGTACATTTCTATAAGAGGTGTTATCTTCTGGTGCTCTCCCCTTTCCGCCCCTTGTTGAGAGGTCAGAAGGATTTGAGTGACCGTAGATAACGCCTGTCTAATTCCGTTAGCCGGTACAAAAGTCACTCACCCTACATCTGTTAACACACGGGCCGCTATCTCGGTCAGTCGGTTCCCCTGTGGTAACTGGATAGCCCGAAACATGGCGGGTACAACAATAAAAACCTGAGAGCTTAAGGCTTTAATTAGTTGCCTACCCCCGGCAGTTTTTTTTTTTTATTTAACCGCGTGAAGAGAATATTTACTGCGTTGACATAATGCCGTAAATTCATCGTTTAGGTATAGGGTGTCCGTTCGGGGGTCTCTTTACTTGACAAGTTGAGTTTAATTTGGACTCCTGGCTAATGGCTTTTCTCCCCCCGAGCCGCCTGAAATTTATTGCCGAAAGTTACTAGAAATGGTTTTTAAGTCCCCCTCACGTCAGAATAGTAAGGAACTCGCTCGTCTTGCTGTTGCTGTATATCACGTGCCGACCGAGGGGTGGAGAGGGCGGGGGTTAGGTTGAGTACATTTTTTCTCTATAACACGTGATTGGTGGTTGATACTGGACGTGGCTGTGTGAGTCACCCTAGCTGTTTAGACATCTGCACCTCGTTCGGAAAATGATTTCTCTCACTCTAACTTTCTAGACTTGACCAGGTGAAAAGTCACGCCAACTTCTACCTGTATTAACTTCCCATCTCATCCCTTGATATCTAACTATATCAATCTATATCATTGCCTTTGTCTGTATCTCAAGATTTAATATATATGTGTATATAGGCATGTACACTAAATATAAAATCAAACAACGTCCGCTACGTTCATAAAGATCGCATTAATTACTTTGTTTGGATTTTAAATAAAAAATGTGCCGTTCTAGTACTAACAAAATATATTTCTAGCTATTTTTTCTGTGTTCATATTTAAGTAATTATCAAGCATTTGATTTTTGTTTTTAAATTTTTTAAAAATAATTACCGCCAGAAAATTAAATTTTGTAGTCTAGCCGACATTTATTGTTTCGCACTGATGAAATAAAATGAGATATAAAATTGCCCAGGTCTGCAAACTGGGTTGTCAGCCATCTGTGTTCTTGTTCCAAACTTGATGGCTAGATAGTCTCCCTTCCTCCTGTGAGGGCGAATGGTAAGGGGAAACAAACGGGGCGGATGGTGCAAACTTTGGAGCCACTTCAACAGTGGAGCTAACTCTACCGGAGAGGATGCGATATTAAATAAAAAAATAACTAGATGCGGATTAAATTAGATTCTTTTAAAGACGATTTCCCGTATATTGGTTAAACGAAAGAATTGTAGCGCAGCGGTTGTAAAGGGCTTACTTGCGTATCTTTAAATGAACAAGACATTATTAGGTTTCTTTTGATTTACTTTTTGGTTCTGCCTGCTCGAGAAGGGTAATGAAATAGGGTTGGTTGCAGCATATGGGGTTAGGGGGGAGGTCCGGGGCTGAGTTGTTAATATAGACAGTTCGAGAATTTTAATGCGTTAAAAAAAGCCAAAATGTAAATAAAAATGGAAGAAAAAAATGAACCCTGTTAAAGAATGTGGGAATTGAGCGTGCGGGCAAATTCAATGAGACAGGAACTGCAGAGCAGGCTTCGTGATGGTGCGTTTAGATTTTTATTTCTTCCCAGTTTATTTTGCTCTTCTCATGTTTAGATATTCGGGGTCAGAGGTTGATCTCTGTAAGACGGGGGTGGAGGGGGTGTTTGAGTCTCCCGTTATTTACACAAAGTGCCAACATTTTTTAAGTTGAGTACGTTTATGACACGCGCTACACAATATAAATAACCAAATGGGAAATAAATCAGGTGTTTAACGAGACCGTCCAACCTTGTGATGGATGAGGTGGGTCTCATACTGACCCACTCTGGGTAGGGGGTGGGTGGGGGTCTAACTTCATTTCAGCAATTTGGGTCTTATAGTGACCATATGGGGGGGGGGGGTCAGTGGCACACATTCTTGTGGAGTTGGATGACCATGATCTTATGGTGACATTTTGGAAAGGGTGTCCGATTTTTTTTTAAAAGTCAATTTTCAAAGTTGATTAATGGAACTTATTTAGTAGAAAGCTACACTCAAATAATAAATGGTGAGAAGTTTTTTGTTTCTTTGCTAATGACACATGACAAAGCACACAGTAATATCATGGGTTTTTTTATGGCTATTTATACACGAACAAAAAAAAGTTGACTTTATCCCTTGCCTACACAAAAATCACATTCATGGATTTGTTTTTTGATCAGTTGAAGTATTACCATTTTTTAAAAAATATTTCTGGTAGCTGATGTACTTTCTTTCTTCATCTTGTTATAAGTAATGCAGTTTAAGTTCTATTATGTAACATCTTACAGATTTAGGTATTGTCATCTTGGTTGTTACCAAGTGCTTACAATTTAAAAGTTCTTTAATTAAAGATTTTTGTTTTAAAGTGTTTGTACAATTTCAGGACTACATCCGCTGTGGTCTCACGTCCAGCTCCACACAAGATATATTTCTCACAGGTAGAGTTTTTACAATGTTCTCACTCTTTACACTCTCCTACTGCCATTCATTTTACCTTAAAATTCCTTTTAATTTTAAAAACAACAAATATAATCTAAACCTGTTCTTTTTGTATTTTGGTTGTCGTAATCTTCAAGACTTAGTTTGAATTATAGAGAATTTTTTCCTTTTAAGACATTTGAAATCTTTTTCAGGCTCTTACGACCACACAGTGAAATTATGGGATGCAAGAACACAAGCCAGTGTTCTTTCAGTCAATCATGGCTCTCCTGTTGAAAGCGTCCTTATGTTTCCTAATGGCGGTATCTTCTTCTCTGCAGGTAAACTACTCGGTTTTTCTCTTACTTTTTAAAATCACTTTTTTATATTCATATTTATACAGCATGTAGGTTTTAGAAGCAATATTTGGGAAGAGGCAGGAATTAAACAAGATTTGGATTTCCTGCCTGGGTATCTCTGAGGCTTATCGCTAATTCTGACAGCATTTTTAATAGAACGCTTGAGTGATTTTTGGCGAAGTAGGTGAAGCAGCAGCTCAATTATATTTGCATGTAATCTCATATTGAGACATGCTATTCCTGTTTCCTTATTCTTGATTGGCTAAATTTTTCATAGCCATAATTGAAAAAATGAAATACATGAAAATCTTTTTAAAAAAACTCTAAATAAAATTACATTATTTTTTTTTAAATCTGTTCTAGCCATTAAAATTAACTTATTAGTGAGCTTACCATTTTATATAAATAACTTCTTATTTATTATGTTTATTTTTTAAAAATTAGTTTATTTTCTTAATTAATATTTTTTTTCTTAATTGGATGTCATGCTCTCAAAAAAGAGATCCCAATTTAAGCTGGTGTTCCTGTTTAATTTGAGAGACAGGTTTCAACAGATTTAATCTCCTAATTACGTTTTAAATATTTTTGTGTCAAAATTCTCGCACAAAAAGGTTGTGCATACATGTGTTTCCAGAGTGCATAGATTACAGAGTTTTAGGCGCAAAGTGTTTTTTTTTTACAGTTTAACCATGGGATAATCAAATGTTTCTCTAAAATTTTACAATTTCTCAATCAAACTTAGCACAAAGTCGCAGAATGTAAAATAAAATAGGTTCTTCTTTAGCTTGGATTTAATCATTCAACTGGTATTAATCTTCTAAACTAGAATGCTCCTATTGATTATGGCTATAAATGTAAGAATGAATTATAATTAATAACAATGTTCTGTTATAAGGTTTCAATGTGCTGTAATAAGGTTGAAATTGTTCATCTTCATTTGTAATTCTATTGAAGGGATTCCCTCCAACACAATTTATTACTTAGCGTCAACTTTTTATGTGCCATATAGGCCATTGTCTCAGATTTCAGCCTGATTTTCTGTTTGGATTTGCTTCAATAGATTTTGCCAAATAAAGAACAAACTACACGGCAGCAATTGTTTGATTCTGGAGTTGTCTCTCCTAGATGGGTTGCTGTCCACAACTAACGAGCCTCATCTGCCCTTGAGTTCAAACTCAAAACTTTTCTTTTTTGCAAACATGAGTTTTACTGACCAAGCCGAACTCTATTTAAGGTTAAAAACAAAATGGCATAAAAAGGTTTTAAAAACTTACTGTAAATAAGGTAAAAAACAATGTGCTGTAATAAGGTCAAAATACACGAAGGTTGCACAAAGTAGTCTCTATAGTAAGAGTTGATTAGATATTTGATTAATGTATGCTTCAGCATAAGACAGCTAGAATGGAATATGTGGATTTCCTCTGCTGTTTTCATTCTGTTTTCAGGTAGTTCACAAAGTTGTCAATTAAACATGGGAATAGGTTGTTTTTTTTCTGCTTCAGGTCAATCATCCTACTTAGTTCTTAGTTAACATCTTAGTGCTGAAATTGTCACATCTGGTACTAGTGCTGCTGTTGTAAACTCTATTCAGTGTCTACTAACACTAAACTAAGGAAGTGTCTATACAATATATATATATATATATCCTAATATATAAATCCCCACGTTCGCACATCTCTCTCTCTCTCTTTCTCTGTCCGCAAAAAAATTTCGCCGGACATCACGTCAGAATCGGCAGCGATATATCGAGAACTTTTTACGGACTTTTGTTGAAAAAAATATGTTAGATGTTTTAAATGTATAACCACAAAATTATTTAAAGAAGAAAAATAAAAAATAAAGGCGTATTCGAATATAGAGAAACAGTATTATTTATGCAACCGGAAAAGTGTATATAAACTTGAGACAAGAACGCATTTAACAATGACGTCGCTTATTGTTTACACTAAAACACTAAAACAAGAGCATGAAACTGATGACGTCATCTTCCGAGTTTAGACTAGATCTAAATCTACGCAAAAACTAGATCTACACTTAGACGCTACGTCGCTAAGATCTATTCTAGATCTAGATTTAGACTCTATCTACCGTAGAATCTATTCCAAAAATAAATTTCTATAATAAACTTTTTCAGGACTTAAATATTTTATAGAAATCTGTGTTTGTTTAGCAATGAAACTGGCTAATTTTGGGTAAAAAAAATAATTTGAAAAAATAGGTATATTCGTGTAAGTTATATTTTTAAACACTTCTTATATTCTCCATATTTTAAAAGGTACCTAATTAGCTGAGATGATAGTGTACTTGATACCAGACAGGTGGTGCTGGATCGAGACACACCAAGTCAAATCTATTTTTTTTAAATATGTGAATCTTCCTATTTTAGACTATAAAGAAAGGAACTACTTTGGAAATCTTTGTTTATCTATGCAATTTGCTAATCTCAATAATATATGAAGCAAAGTTGTTGGGTGCTTGACATCGGGCACTTCCCGGCGCCGCAGGCGCTTCAAATTTGGCAGGATCTTGCCTTGGGGCGACAGAACACGGGGGCCGGTGCCGGTTGGCCTAAAGGTCTACGATGAGGGGGTCAAAACAGACCTCGACTGACCGGCGCCTTATATGAGCTATAAATCGAAAAAAATGTGTCCACATAGGAACCTCTACATAACTCCTGAGGTCGTAGACCGACCCTCGGGCGAATTAATTAAGCATTCAAATTCTCAATGTTTTTGAAAGCCTAAGCGAAGCTGGGCAGCATGCCTAGTATATATATAAATTCCTTGGAGGTAATACCTTACTAGAACTGCCCAGAACCTGTTGGGGTGGGGTGGGTATAAAAATGTTGTGTCATCTCTACACTAGAGCAGTGCAGAATTTGGGGGTGGGGATAAAATGTTGGGTGTCAAATATTCATTACATTTTCAAACCTAATCTCCCTGCTAAACTGGTAATTATTTTCTTAAGAAAACTAAATAAATAAGATATTTACAGCACTCGGCAAAGACAGTCAGAAATTTAGCTGATGAGAATCCTGCAAATCTTTTTTTATATAAAGCCGTATTTTTTTAAGAAGGTAAAAGCAACGCGAGTCGCCCAAATGAAGAAATAAAGTAACCCTCGCATATTTAAGCAGTAATTGAATACCGCGGGCATCCTGAAATTCTGGTGCCAACATATCTCCCTGCGTCAGTCAAAACACAGAAAGTATTCGCGCTACCAGACTTGAGATTAATATGAAAAAAGGGAGGTAAATGAGTTGAGTCGACCCCCACTCCTGCCGGTATTTTTTCTCGCTCCTGTTTCAATACTATTTTAATATCTCACGTTGTCTTGAGCAGTCTCCCAGCCCGCGATTATTCATCATCCCGGCTACATTTTTCTTACTCTCTAAAATAAACACCAGTTACTTTTTTTTTATCTTTGATTTCCAAGCCAGTTTTTTTACATACCGTTTAATATTTAACCCCCCCCCCCTGCTCACGGTGCGTCAGTTTGTTTTAGTTTTACTAGTGCAGTGTTTTTTTTTTCCTCATGATTTTTTCCCCACCCCGTTTTTTTTTTCAAATTGCCAACCCACATGTCGTGGGCTGCCGCTTTAATCTTTCAAATTTCCTCTAATTTGCCGCGGGGGATGAGAAAGTCTAGATCATTGGCTGCAAGATGATTCCATTCACCGGAAACACTCTCGCGGGGATTTATTAGTTTCTACAATTAAAATCTCCAAGTATGTAATCCTGGGGCCACTTAATGTTTAAGTAAGGGTACTTGGACGAATGGCGGTGAGTTGCTTTCTATCAGTGCTAGTCCACTCCGGCCTGAAAGAAAACAAATCTCTGATCTCGTTGCTTCCGTTTGTTTGTCGTAGTTCACTCTTGACTCTTCTCATAAGGACTTTTATATTGAACTAGGCATGCTGCCCAGCTTCGCTTAGGCTTTCGAAAACATTGAGAATTTGCATGCTTAATTAATTCGCCCGAGGGTCGGTCTACGACCTCAAGAGTTATGAAGAGGTTTAATCCGTGGACATTTTTTTTCGATTTATAGCTCATATAAGGTACCGGTCAGTCGAGGTCAGTTTTGACCCCCTCATCGTAGACTTTTCGGCCAACCGGCCCCCGTGTTCTGTCGCCCCAAGGCAAGATCCTGCCAAATTTGAAGCGCCTGCGGCGCCGGGAAGTGCCCTATCGGACACCCGACAATCTAGATCTAGATCTAGATTCCTAAAAGAATTTTTTTTTAAGTTTAGCCCGAGCATAATAAAAAAAAATACATTAACCAAGTTGACTTGGTGTGTCTCGAACCCGCACCACCTGCGTGGTTTAATGTACACTAACATCTTCGCTATTTAGGCAGATGACGTCAATAGTTAATGTATAAGCAATAGTGACGTCACAGTTTTATGCGTTCTTTTTCACATATATTAATGCTTTTCCGGTTGCATAAATAATACTGTTTCTCTACATTCGAATACGCCTTTAATTTTTATTTTTCTTCTTTAAATAAAATTGTGGTTATACATTTAAAACATCTAACATATTATTTTCAACAAAAGTCCGTAAAAAATTCTCGATATATCGCTGCCGATTCTGACGTGATGTCCGGCGAAAATTTTTTGCGGACAGAGAGAGAGAGAGAGAGAGATGTGCCCACATTGGGCTTTTATATATTAGGATGACTACATTAGAAATGTTTGGAACGCTTTGTTTGATTTCAGGTTCTCTACATTTTCAACTTCATTAAATCTGAGCTAGGTTGGGTTATTGAAGTAGTCCCCGAAATAGATATTTTCTTTTATTTTAAGAAAGAACTTCTTAATGAAATTCAATATTTAAGCAGCCAGTTTTGTGCGTTAAAAATGCAGTGCTTTGCTATGATGTGAGTGGGTTATTTAAATATGAGTTAAATGTTACCCCGGCTACCCTCCATCTCCCCCAATCTACCACCTGGTTTTATGCTACCCTCCCACCTCCCCTAATACT